AATAAAATTCAGCTTCTCATTACTGAAGATGTTGTTTTTGGTTTATTTGGTTAGTTTTTCCCAATAGGTAACAATGGATATGTAAATATCATACATTATAATTGTATACAGAAACACAAAACCATATATTTTAAAACCATCCCTAGTAGAGTTGCTAGAATTCATAGCTCCAAAGCAGCTGCCTTGCCACAGGAGTGGCCCCGGTCCAGGAGCTCCCAGGCCAACTGGCTCCTCTGACTACCTGCTTCCTACGGTTTGGTTATGGAGAAGAGCAGACCAGGATCTGACCACACTGGGCCCAGAGTCCCGTAACACAGGTGCTGGGGTTACTCTGAAATTAGGAACCGTTACCCTAGAAAATCAAGGGAGAGCAACAAGCTAATTAGCACTGTCACCTCAAAATATTCCTTGCATCCTACCCTTGGGCACAGCAGGTTGGTGATTTGTAGTAGATACGCGCTGCGGTGGTGGAGGGCTTGGGTGGCCAATGGTCCCAGCACAACGCACGTACAGCTGTAGAGATGAAAACAAAAAACACTTGTGAGGAGACATTTTATGCAGCTTTTGCAATTGCAAAGCAGAGTCTAATGTCACTTTGAAAGAAAGATTGTTATTATTTAGGGAATTCTAACCACATCTCACTAACAGGAAACAAATGGCAGGTGCCAGTGTCTGAGATTGACCTAGATGAATGGCACAGATCAGCCTGGCTTCATCTGGAAGTCATCCAGGGAACTTCTAAATCGTGAATACGCACAACAGCACCGACAAACTAGTGCTGGCTACTGTTACATTAAAAGTAACACACAATAAGCCTCCAAACGAGCTTGGGAATTCATTGGTGTATCCCCTGTGAAAGGATTACTGGTACAAGTCTGAATTAATCCCAGAGTCCCAAAATTCTCCTAGGCGTCCAAGTCTTTCCTTAGAATGAGTTAATTTTCCTGGGAATGACGTCTTTTTACTGAGAATAAACCCTTTTACAAGCATTTAGAGGTCATTCTTCCCCACAGCACTGGTGCTAAAACAAGACCAGCCAGTGTTTCCAGAAGTACATCCACTCTAGCTCAGCCCAGTGCATCTTGTGCTGCTGAGGATTGGAGAAGGTTCCTGGTACATCAGTGCTTTGTGCCTCAGGGTGGATCCATGCTGAGCCAAGCACAGCTTTTAACACTGTGCGTTTCAGGATGCCTCATAGCGAAGGAGAGCACAGAGCTGGGGGCCTGAATCCAGCTGAGCAGATCTCTGACAGAAGTCTACCAGAGAAGCCCCCGAGGGACACCTTTTGGTGAAGATATTACATTGGTGAGAACCTTGTAAAGGAGGACCAAGGCTGTGCTCTTCCACCTGGCCCACAAGGTTCATGGGATGGGGCTGTGATCCACAACCATTCCCAGAAGGCACATCCAGACAAAGCGCCCTGGAGGTGGAGTCACCTTCCATTCTAACAGTGTCCCCAGCTGCCAAGTATCTTTTCTACAAAAAAAAAGCTGACAAAGTATAAGAGATCATAGGTGGAAAGAAGACGCGTGTGGTTACAGCTTCTGTGATATGATACACGCAGCCTGGAAGAGTAGTGACAAGGGAGGACAATGAAACCTAAGAAAGAGAGGGCAGCGAAGGTGACAGCTCCACAATTGCTCCACTCGTGCAGAGTCAAAGCAGGGAGCACTGGGCCACCTCTCTGGGGAAGCAAACAGAAGGGATATGCCCAGGCGTGAGGTGGGAACTGTGTGGGGCTTGTCCTGACAAAGGGGTAGACTGAGCCCGTCCTTCCTTTGCCACATCCGCTCAGCATAAAGACCATTAATAAGGTCAACCACAGGAACACAAGAAGGAAAGAGCATTGGAATTGTGTTTTATGGTTTGTTTTCCCCCCGCAGTCCTGTTTCCTTGAGCCTTGCTAAATGAATGTTTTCTTATCTGATGGTTCAGTTTATCTGGTGCTGGTAGGAACAGGGCAAATCAGGATAAAGTCTGCAGTTTGGGTCAGCATTGATCCTACCAGCGGGTCACCACCGGAGACAGGGTTCTCCAGAGAGGCCAGGTGTGAGGGAATGTGCCCGGCACCGTGGAGAGCAGGAGCCCATGGTGCCAGGTTGCCAGGGCTCAGCACAGTGGCTCGTATTCCCAGCTGCCAGCTTTTTGGGCGAGGTTCCTTTTTCTTGGCACAAAATCCAGCCCCAGACCCAGCAGAATCTCCTGTGCTGCTTGGCAGGTCTTCAAATGGCAGGTCTGTAGATGCAGGTGTATTCATACGGGCTATGCTGAGAACATTCATATCGGAAGGTGCTGGGATGACCAGTGATTTGGGCTGGGAAGGAGCTGGGCAAACTGGTTTAGCAGAGGTGTGGAGCTCATGGGGCACAGCACAGCGCTGGGACTCTGGCAGCACCACGGAGCGAGGAGTCCGTGGACTTGTCCCATGTCTTCTTGCGTGTGCACAAATCGCACGTTTGGGGAAAGGAGCTTCTCCCATCCCCTTCTGCAACGCATGAGAAAATAGTCCGCTAGTTGGACTCAAACTTCCTGCTTCATGATTTCGGTTGATTGTGCCATAGATCTGCTGTCCTTCTCATTCTCTGCTCCCCGATCCCCTGCAAGGCAGGATGCTGCAGGCACGGATTTCCTCTCCAGGCTGGGCAGCCATGCCTGCTTTTCTCCTTCCTTGCGTGGAAACCATCCCTGCCCAAAGCAGCCCTGGGGCCCCGTCCCTGCTGTTTCTGATTCTGACACTTTTGTGATGGGAGAAACAAAACCGTGGGCAATAACTGAGAGGAGGTTTCACCCAAGATTTATACAACAGCAGGACAGGGTATTTTTGTTTTGTTCTTTGTTTCTTTCTTGATAATCCCTGATGTTTACTTCACTTTTTTCTTGGCAAGCAGTGTGCTGACATCACCATGACTCTCTGATCTCTTCTGCAAGTTGCATTAGCTAATCTAAGTCCACCCTCGTGCTGTGCATCCTTGATTACACCACCTGTGCATCACTTTGCATCTCGCAACACGGACTGCAATCTGCTGTTGGTGTGCCTGGTCACACAGCACCACTCTTGCCCCCTTGGACTCTTCAGGGCAGCCTCAGTCCTTTAGTGCCCTACATTAGTGCCACAGTTAATTCTATCCCTTCAGACAATTTATGAAGTTGCTGGAAAGAAGAAGGCCTCATGCAGCTCCCAAGGAAGGCATCTCTGATACCTCCCTCCCCCTTGAAAACAGACCAGCCATAGAATCATAGAATCAAGGAATGGTTTGGGTTGGAAGGGACCTCAAAGATAATCGAGTTCCAACCCCCTTGCCGTGGGCAGGGACACCTCCCACTAGAGCAGGTTGCTCAAGGCCCCATCCAGCCTGGCCTTGAACACTTCCAGGGATGGGGCATCCACAACTTCCCTGGGCAACGTGTTCCAGTGTCTCACCACCCTCATAGTAAAAAATTTCTTCCTGAGATCTAATCTGAATCTTTTTTCTTCCAATTTAAAACTGTTTCCCCTTGTCCTATCATTACACCTCCTGGCAAAGAGTCCCATCCTACCTTCCATTGCCTGTCTGCTTAACCGTGGAGACCAGTGTCTTATAGCTTAAGATGGACTAAGGACACTTGGTACAGGACCTTGTTGAAAGCTTTCTGGGATCCAGGTACACTATGTGCATACACTGAGCTGCACCCACACACTTTCTGCCACCTCTGAGGAGCAGCAGAAAGGCAGGACTTCTGCCTGGAGGAGAGTTGTGTCATCCTCTAGCCTCAATTGAAAGAAATGCTTCTTGTAACTGTATGTCCCCCCTAAAAAGAAGGGACACCCACCCCTGTTGAGAGGAGACCCCCACTGCTGAGGGATCCTTCACCCATTGCTGAGAAGAGGGGACACCCACCACTGAGGCGTCCCTCATCTACCCATGAGGAGAGAGGACACCCATAGCTGAGGGTTTCCTTGACCTACCACTGAGGAGCAGAGACACCCACTGCTGGGGGTTCCCAACCCCACCACTGAGGAGAGGGGACACCCATGACTGAGGGGTCTCTTGAACCAATAATGAGGAGAGGGGACACCATGACTGGGGGGTCCCTTGACTCACCACTGAGGAGAGGGGACACCCATGGGTAAGGGCTACCAACCCCAACACTGAGGAGAGGGGACACCTACCACTGGAGGGTCCTAACCCCAACACTGAGAAGAGGGGACACTGATGCCTGAGGGGTCCCTCTTGCATTGCTGAGGAGAGGGGACACCGGCTGCTGAGACGTCCTTCACCCACTGCTGAGGAGAGGGGACGCTGACCTCTGAGGGGTCCCTTGCCCACCACTGAGGAGAGGAGACACCCATGGGTGAGGGGTTCCTCTCACATTGCTGAGGAACACCAAACCCATTGCTGAGAAGAGGTGACACCCACCACTGAAGCCTCCCAAGCCCAATGCTGAGGAGAGGCGGCACACATGGCTGAAGGGTTCCTCAACCCACCACTGAGCAGAGGGGACGCCCACCGCTGAGTGGTCCCAGCCCCAACACTAAGGAGAGGGGACACCCACCACTGAGGTGTCCTTCACCCATCGCTGAGGAGAGGGGACACCCACCACTGAGGGGTCCTTCACCCATCGCTGAGGAGAGGGGACACCCACCACTGAGGGGTCCTTCACCCGTCGCTGAGGAGAGGGGACACCCACCACTGAGGGGTCCTTCACCCGTCGCTGAGGAGAGGGGACACCCACCACTGAGGGGTCCTTCACCCGTCGCTGAGGAGAGGGGACACCCACCACTGAGGGGTCCGAGGATCTGACCGCATTCCCCGCCCCTGACACAGGGGTCCCGGGCTCTTGCCGGCGGGGGGCTAGGGTAGGGTAAGAGGGGGGTAACCCCGGGGGGTGGGTTGCAGGTTCGAGTCCCGTGTCGGGAAGCTCACCTGGCCGGGCCGGGCCGGGCCGGGCGGCGGCAGACTTTGCCTCCAGCCTCTATAAAAGGTAACGGCGGCGTGAGTCAGAGCCGCCGCCTCCTCCCCGCCCGCTCTCACGTACGCGCGGCCGGGCGGGCAGGCACGGAGCCGCCGGCCGTCCCGCACCCGCGCACTTGCCGGAGATGAGCCGCGCCGCGCTGCGGGTCTCCCGCCTCCTCCTCCTCCTCCTCCTCCTCTTTTCGACCGACTTGGGCCGCGCCGGTACCGAGCACGACCAGGAACACGACGACGAGGATAGCCCGCACTCCCCGGAGAAAGGTGAGCAGGGGGGTGTGCGGGGGGCACCCCGGTGTGCACCGGGAGCCCCGATGCGTGGGGTACCCCGCTGCTGGGTTTGGGGTCCCCGATGCGTGGGGTACCCCGCTGCTGGGTTTGGGGTCCCTGATGCAGGGGGCACCCTGATACACGGGGCACCCCAGTACTGAGTTGGGGATCCCCTGATGCACGGGGCACCCTGATGCATGGGGTCCCCCTCCCCCCCTTGCTAGGTTTGGGATCCTTGGTGTATGGGGCACCTGGATGCATGGGGTGCTGGATTTGGGATGCCTAATGCCTCGGGGGTGTTTGCCCCCCAATGCTGGGGGGCTCCCCTCTTGCTTGGTTTTTTGGTGGAGGGGGTGGCTACTCTGCCGCCTCCTGCAGCCCTGTTAGGGTTCCCAGTGTTCTCCAATGTGGGGTGTCCTTGGAGGGCTGTAGCCCCCCAGCATCACCCAGCCGAGGAAGCTGCCTCCTCCCAGCACGTCCCTGCCTTTGTCCCTGCTCCCGCCAACTCCTGTGCAGCCCGACCCCTGCCCAGGGGCTGGGGGCCTCCGCCTCGCACGCAGCCCATTTCCCTCCCTAAGCCCCTGTCCCACCAGATCCGGGGGGGTTCACAGCTGGTGGCAAAGGGGCAGTCAGGGCTATGCATCAAGCAGTGCCTTGCCATGCCCATGCGGAGGGTCCAGTCCAGGACCCCGGTGTGGCGGGACGGTGGCTGTTCCCCTTTGTCCTGCAGCATGGCCTCTCCCCAGCGGGGTCTGCTGTGCCTGGCCCTGCATCCACGTTCTCCCCCGACAGCCCAGTGAGGATAGGATCCAGCGCCGTTGTGGTGTTGGTGGTGATCTGCCCCACGGCTTGTGATGGGAAATGGGGGATGTGCCTGAACTCAGGGCCGGATGGTGTTGTCTGCACCCCCCCTCACTCCAAGAGCCATCTCGCTGGCGGCGTGGGGGCTTTCAGGTTTCAGAGTCGCTGTTTCAGGGGGAAAGTCCTGGGTCTTTGGTCTTGGTCCCTTTTCTGACTGGGGTCTGTGACGCTGCCAGTGCTCAGCAGGGATTTTGGGGCAGTGCCATGCGTTTGCTCGCGTGGGGCTGAGCGCTGCGCTGGGACGTTCCTGTCCCTGGGTACGCTCCTCGTCCCAGCACTGCCGGCGGGTTCATTTCCCAGGCTCAGCCTCATAGCGTGTCCTTGGTTTTGCCTCTGGTAAAGGAGCTGCCCTGACCTGTGCCGGGACAGCGGCCCTGTGGTAGGGACCAGCAATAGTCTGGTGCCAGGAGCTGCTTTTGTTATTGCAATGAATCACATTTCTTACTAAAGCCGCTCTCTTGCCGGGCTGAGCACTGGACAGAGATGGGGACGCAGATGGTCCTTGCCACAGAGATGAAGTAACCCAGGCCACAGGGTGGGAGGGAGTCAGGCATCCAGCATACTGGTGTGGTGTGCTGGCAGCAAGCGCCTGGGCACAGCGTGGGGTTTGGGGTGGGTGGGAGAAGGGGATGGAGATGGGAAGAGGAGGTGAAGGGTGGGAGGTAGCAGGGTGGTAGGTAGGGACCAGGCAGCCCAGCCCATGCTATAGCGGTGTTAGAGACTGAAGATCTGGCTGGAGTCCCGTGAGGGAGCAGGTCTCGGCTGGGACACACCAAGGCTCTTGCCAGGCGCTGGAAGCTGCGTGTCTCAGCACCTCTGCCAGGCAATGTGCTGCCTCCCTCTTCCTCGAGGCTTGAACACGAGGCAGGGCTGGTGGCCACCCAACCCTGGGCACTCAGCGCAAGCTGGCGGTTGTCACTGTGGCTTTGCCATGGGGTTGCTCTCTGAGGAGTCTCTGGCTTGCCCGAAGACCCGAGTCCTGTATTATGGGTGTCCTGGGAAATCGTAACTCCCGTTACCACTACAGCCTGTTTCTTCTCTCCCTCCTATTCAGACCTGCCCTGCTGTCCATGTCCTCTTCTTGCTCTTTCCCCGATGCCCTTTTCCACTAGCTGAGTCCATTTCTTTTACTTAAAACTTCTTCTCATTCCCCAGCTCAGAGCACTGACCTGTCCCCTGGGATTTCCCTGTTTTTTCCCCCTTCTGCTGGGATGGCCCTTTTTCTGCAGCACTCTGTGGTTGTTTCCTTTTACCCCTGGCACTTGCTGGGGCAGTTGAGTTCCACTCAAACCCCATGCCCCTCTCAGGAGCAGCTGACCCAGTCGTGGGTCCCGCAGCCTGAACAGTCCTCCCCCAGGAGCACAAAGAACAATCCCTGCGGCGACCTGTGCTGCCAGTCGCAGATTAAAGGCTGATCCCAAAAGCTTGCAGTGGGTCAGAGTTTATAAACACAAAGGGGCTTTAATGCAGCCAGGCTGGGGAGGGATCAGTGGCCCCATGGGCAGCTCGTGGGGTGGTGTTCTGGGCTGAAAGGACATGGGTGCTGCATGGGGTGTGTCTCCAGATGGAGAAACCAGGGCTGTGCTGGCGGAGGTAGGGCTGGGATGGCACAGCTCTCCTGGAGAGAGAGAGAGAGAAGCTCCTCACAGGGCTTGGCAGAAGGATGCTCGGGTTGTGCACCCTGCTGCCCAGGCCCTGTGCCTGTGCCATGCTTGCTACAGGCTGACTGTGGGCAGGGTGAGCACAGTGGCACAGTGCAGGTACCGTGATCACGTTGCTGCTTTCAAGGGACATAGTGCTTGGATGCGTTTTGTAGGCTGGGACCTGGCTGCTGTGGCTGGTTCCTGCATTTCTGTGTGTCCTGTTAACTCCTGGCTTACCAGGAATAGCACCCTGCTTTCCTTCTTCTCTGAGCCATGAGCAGGAATAGCCCCTGCTTTCCTTCTTCTCTGAGCCATGAGCTCCACTGGTCCCCCCACAGCCTGGGAATGATCTGCAAACAGGGGATTCTTCCTAGGGGGACACAGCAAGGTGGTCCTGCCCTGGCATCCCCTGCGAACCAGCCTCATCCCACAGGGCTTTGACCCAGGTCTGGCCAGGAATGGGTCCCAGGGGAGGCAGGAGGCTCTGGCAGGATCTCAGTGCTCCCTGTGACAGAGCACAGAGCATTGTGTGCCCAGCTGGTAAGAGAGGTAGAAGCCCTGCCCACCATGCCCAAGCCATCAGACTTCTGCTGGAGTTCAAAGCGAGGAGGCAGCACTGATGGCCACACTGTGAACAGCACAGGCGTTTCGGTGTTGTCTGGTGCCCTGCAGCAGCTTCAGGCTGTGTACCCCCTAAAACCCGAAAAGCTGAGGATGGAGGGAGCAGACATGTAGGGCAGACCCTCTGATCTCCCTCCTTGCTTCAGTGCAGATGATCCTGAGTCCCTTGGGCGCCTGGTCTGTCCCAATGTCCTCGTGGTGAGGTCTCCGGCGAGCAGCCCCGCTGCTTCGGTGTGGGGCTCCTCACCCTGCTGGAAGCTGCTCCTACCCTTCCTGCCGGGCTGCGGGACATGCGGAGCAGCACGCTGGTAATGGCAGCGTCTGCCTGAGCTCGGCAGGAAAGTGTTGTTGGACGGTGTTGGATGTCAAGGAGGGGAAAGGAGCCAGGATCCCAAAAATGGGAGGGCCGAGAGGGAATGAGCAACAGGGGGAAGAAAGCCTGTAGGAAGGAGCGAGTGAAAGGGGGGAAACTCCCCCGGGTCGCAGGCTGCGGGGGGATGGGGGGGTGGCTTTTAGTGCTCAGCCCAGCCGGAGGGGCTCTGCATGGCTGAACACGGAGGCTTTCTCGCCTGCAACGTCAGGCAGCTCCTGGTGATGCCCTGCTACGTTTTCCTGCTGGCAGCCCTGCAAGGAGCCCTCTTCTTGCACGTTATCTCCCACTGCGCTCATCGCAGCCTCCAGGCTGTTCCCCCTTACATGTTTTGGAAGTGCTTTTCAGTCCCTGCCGGGTCTGTGGGTGCTGGGAGGTAGGGCAGGGCATGCAGAGAGCTGCAGCAACCGCTGCCGAGGTGCAGCCACGTCTGTTGTGGTGAGCGGCAGCAGTTCAGCAGAAAGGAGACCTGGCACCCTGTGGCTTTCTGAGGGAGAAGACGTGCTCCGGCGGGGAGCGTGGGAGGCAGGGTGAAATTATGCAAATAGACATTTGGGCAGGGCAGTGGGTTAATGTTCATGGCAAAGGGCTGCGAGATTGCGAATGCCCCCGCGTGGAAGGGACTGGAGTATTGCAGGGCTCCTCCGAGCCACGCTGAGGTCAGGGCAGATGCTGAGAGCCTGACCTGGCGCCCAGGCTGGTCTCACCTTGATGCTCTCTTGCAGCACCTGGTGTTTGTGCCAAGGGGACCCAAGCCTGCACAGATAGGCTGGCGAGATGCCTCCCCCAAGTGGGTGGCCTGGCTGCACCATGGCTGTGTCTGGATCCATAGGATGGGAAAAGACACTGGGGTGGCTCCAGTGAGTGGATAAGTGCTCATGGGTCCCCTTGGTTCTGATGCCAGGAGACCCCCAGGGAAGGCTCCTTTATTGGGGTGGATCGGACCAGCTCCTGGGTGAAGCTACAGCCTTTGGGGTGTTGAAAGCTGCTGAACTGAGGCAGCAGAAGACTGCCAGGAGGGTCCAGAGCACCTTTGGCTCTCAACAGAAGGGCGCGGGGGGACATGGGAGCCTGGGGTGGGTGGCCCACTGCTGACGCAGCAGGGCAGGTGCCAGCACGGTGCTATTGCTCAACCCACGATGCGATGTTTGAGTTGCTCCTCTGTCAAGGCAGAGTCCCTGGAGGGGAGCAGAAAGCGGGGTGCTGGGGCGGGCTGTGCCGGTTGAGGCATGTGCAGCAAGCCAAGGCACTGTGTGTCAGTGCTGGGCTGCTGTGCCTTACCCGTGCCAGGATAGCCCCAACGTGAGTGCCCATCAGGTTGTCTCCCCATGCTGATCAGCACCCGTGTACTGCCTAGGAAGGAGCCAACACGGTCCTCATGTATGATCCATGACCGCCTCCTTATAGACCCTTCCAGTCCCTAAAGGGAGCCTACAGGAGAGATGAGGAAGGACTCTTTATCAGGGAGTAGAGAGATAGGACCGAATGCCCCCGCGTGGAAGGGACTGGAGTATTGCAGGGCTCCTCCGAGCCACGCTGAGGTCAGGGCAGATGCTGAGAGCCTGACCTGGCGCCCAGGCTGGTCTCACCTTGATGCTCTCTTGCAGCACCTGGTGTTTGTGCCAAGGGGACCCAAGCCTGCACAGATAGGCTGGCGAGATGCCTCCCCCAAGTGGGTGGCCTGGCTGCACCATGGCTGTGTCTGGATCCATAGGATGGGAAAAGACACTGGGGTGGCTCCAGTGAGTGGATAAGTGCTCATGGGTCCCCTTGGTTCTGATGCCAGGAGACCCCCAGGGAAGGCTCCTTTATTGGGGTGGATCGGACCAGCTCCTGGGTGAAGCTACAGCCTTTGGGGTGTTGAAAGCTGCTGAACTGAGGCAGCAGAAGACTGCCAGGAGGGTCCAGAGCACCTTTGGCTCTCAACAGAAGGGCGCGGGGGGACATGGGAGCCTGGGGTGGGTGGCCCACTGCTGACGCAGCAGGGCAGGTGCCAGCACGGTGCTATTGCTCAACCCACGATGCGATGTTTGAGTTGCTCCTCTGTCAAGGCAGAGTCCCTGGAGGGGAGCAGAAAGCGGGGTGCTGGGGCGGGCTGTGCCGGTTGAGGCATGTGCAGCAAGCCAAGGCACTGTGTGTCAGTGCTGGGCTGCTGTGCCTTACCCGTGCCAGGATAGCCCCAACGTGAGTGCCCATCAGGTTGTCTCCCCATGCTGATCAGCACCCGTGTACTGCCTAGGAAGGAGCCAACACGGTCCTCATGTATGATCCATGACCGCCTCCTTATAGACCCTTCCAGTCCCTAAAGGGAGCCTACAGGAGAGATGAGGAAGGACTCTTTATCAGGGAGTAGAGAGATAGGACAAAGGATAATGATTTTAAACTGAAAGAGGGGAGATTTACATTAGGTATCAGGAAGAAATTCTTTACTGTGAGAGTGCTGAGGCACTGGAATGGGTTGCCCAGAGAAGGTGTGGATGCTCATCCCTGGAGATGTTCCAGGCCAGGCTGGATGGGTCTTTGAGCAACCTGGTCTGGTGGGAGGTGTCCCTGCCCAAGGCAGGAGGGTTGGAACTCGATGATCTTAAAGGTCCTTTCCAGCTCTAACCATTCTATAATTCTATGATAGAGACAGATGGGGCAGGGGAGTGGGGACAGAGTGGGGAGAGGAAGATATGGGATGTTTCTAGAGGAGGGTTGGCGTACCCTGGATTTTAGTGCATAATTGGTGTCCAGGAGGTGTGAGCAAGGTAGGCAGGATGAATCTCAGCTTGCTGCGGCACAGCTAGGTGCATTCCAGGGCAATGCCATGCAAGTGGGCATGGAGAAGGGTCTGTAACCTGTCCTGGGGCAAACATGTTCCAACCTGATGCAGGCAGCTGTGGCTTGCCCAGCCCTCCACTTACTGGCCCTTCTCTATATGCCTTTGGTAGTACCCCGTGCCTGGACAGGTGGCTCCCGAGCATCGCTCTTGAGCGTCAGAAGCACTGCAGGGATGAGTCACCAGAGATGCTGGAGGGAGCACCAAGGGCTGATCCTATCTTTGCACCTCCTGATGCCCTGAAGCACCCTCCAGCCCTTCCCAGCCAGGTTTTGCCAGGGCCACTAGCTATCCAGGGCCGCAGCTGCATCGAAGGCCCCCAGCATCATCCGTGCCGGGACCCTCACTGAGATGAGGGCAGGATCCTGCTGGGCTTGGGGCCTCACATGGGACATCTGGGCCTGGGAAAGAGAGCCTTTTCCTTTCTCACCCCTGAGCTGGAATCTGCTCCTAATAATAGTAAGCGGCTGTCGATAGCTGTTGTCAGCGGCAGGGACGTGGACCAAAGCAGTGCCTGCTGAGCCACTCCTGCATCCCAGCCAGGCTGGTGGGCATTTGGCCCCACCAAGGGACAAAGATGATATCGGGGCTGAACTGCACATATTGAAGGCTCCTTCATGTCCTTGAACCCTGAGGAGCTTATGGAAGTGAGTGTGGATGCTCCCCATTGCAGCTGGGTGCATGCTCCTCTTCGCTCCACAAGCTTGTCCCAACATGGCCCCCTCTGCTCCTGCCCTCATGGGGTGGGATGTGCCAACAGCCTGGTGAGCGTGCTAGTAAGGACAAATCAGAGGAGGATCCCTTGAATAAAGGAGACTATTATAAAGTATTATAAATACCTGTCGTGCCAGTCAGGACATGGACATGATCCTTACAGGCCGTGTTCCTCTGCTTGAGGCAAATCCAAGTCCTGCTGGAACTGGGTGCATGTGGAAGGGCTGGTGATAGCCAAAGTGTTTGGTCAGGGCCATGTGAGATGAAGATCTGGGGCACCTCTAATGCCAGCTCCAGGGATGTGCTGGAATCCCAGGCTTGTGCCAGCAGCTCTAGAGGAGCTGATGGTGCAAGAACTGGTATGTGGAGCACTGCCATATCCTCAGGACCTGCCACGGGAGGGCTTTGCTCCTTCCAGGTCTGTGTGCTGGGGACACTCCCAGCCGTGGGAGGCTCAGGGCACACCAGGGCACATCCTGCCCTACTGTGGCCACTGTGGGCCCCGTGGGTGATATGCAGAGGGGCATGCAGAGGTCCTGGCACAGGCTCCCCCGTCCCTTCCTCTTGCGTTTCCCAGGGAAAGGATTTGTGCGTGGTAAGACCCTTATGCAGCTCTGCATGGGAATTTGGGTGGTCAGGTGAGTTGGGGCAGGGGGCTGCTGGGATGGGAGCAGGGTGTTTGGTCTGGCACATTTTCCTGTGGCAGGTCGACCCCCATGGTAGGGACACTTGCTGTTGAGGAAGACATGGCTTTGGTGCTCGTTTGCTTCCCTTCCCTTGCTGCGAGTCCTGGGGCTGCTTTTCCCTGAGTGTCTGTGCAGTGCGATGCTGCTCGCTGCCCAAATCCTTCATGGTGTGGGAGCTGCTCCTCCTCACACCTCCTCCAGTGCTTCAGCATCGCAGGAGTGCCACCAGGAGAGCCACATCTCTGGCTGATCTTGCTTGAAGAGCCTGATCAGCGAAGCTGCAGACCTGCCTCCTTAAGTGCTTTGCCTTGGGACAGTGGGAGGTTTTGGCTGCTCCAGAGTAGCTGCTGGTACAGCTGCTCGGTGACGGAAGCCAATATCTGTAATTTTTCCATTATAAGGATGATAACAAAGCGTCAAGCCCTGGGATTTTCCCTCTGGGCGACGCATGCAGGAGACCTGGCCCTGCTCAGAGGAGGCAGTGTCCTTCAGGAGCATCCCCCTCGCCAAGGCAGGGGGAGGAGCGGGGAAGGAGAAGGCAATGGGAGCCCTGTTGAAGGCAATGGTAGCCCAGAGACCTGCTGGCGGGGCTGGGAGCGCTGCCTCGCAGAGGTGTGTTTGCTGCCAACCTTTCCCTTCCATTCATGTGGTTGTGTTTCTTTTTTTTTTCTCTCTCTTTTTTTTCCTCAAGGTCCTGGCCACAGTCACTGGAGCTATGAAGGTAAATACCCTGCAGTTACTCCTGCTTTTTTCCTACCACCCAGCAGACCCTGGGCCTGAGCCAGCTGTGGTTAATGATTACAGGGCTCCTGTGCGCACTCCCTGGGTCACCCTTCCCTCCTGCCTGACCCTGCTACCTGGGCACGGATGGGCTGAGGAGACAGGGGTTGCTCTGATTTCATCAGGAAGCAGCACCTCCACCAGGGGTTTCCCCAGCTCCCTGGGTGTGGGGGGATGCCCCTCGGGGCAGGGCTCCTCCCTGGACAGGACCTACCCTGATCCTGTGCCAAGCAGGGAAGCAGGCTAGGCTCTCCAGGCTGGACTTCCAGCCCATGTTGGGACTTTGACCTGCCCAGGGATTAGCTGGTGTCCTCACCTCTGTCACCCTCCCTCCCCATTCTGCCTGCCCCTGCCCTCCCATCATGGCTTAGGGGGCTTCTCCACAGCACCTGTGATGGGCATTGCTGCAGCACTAGCACAAAGAGATTTCTTCCTGCCATGATGGTGGGACAGGCCATGGCACCATCACTCCACTTGGGACCAGGAGTTGGCTTGGACCTGCTAATGCACAGCTCCATCTTTATGGGGGTCCTGCACTGGCCCAAGATGTGCTGGAAGAAGCCCCCTGTAGCACAAGGAGGGTTTTCTGGGGTATCAGCCATGCTTATCCCAGTTACGCACTAGGGAGAGCTGCAGCTTAAGCTGCCACCCCACCCCTGCAAGCTGGCCCTCTGCAGGACCATACTGGTGTAGTTAACAGCCAGGAACCCGTCAGACCGGTGTCTGTGGGCTCCTGGGATCCCAGCAGTATCATGGTACCTTGCTCAAGTTGCAGAGCAGGCGAAGTGGTGGGTCGGCACCTGCCAGAGGCCAGGCTGTGCAAGGCAACGAGCGTGTGATGAGCTGCAGAGCAGCGGCTCCCCGGCTTGCCAAGTCCACTTGTAAATGATCTTCTCGCGCTCTTCCCAAACACCCCCAAAATAGACTTTCCTGGCAGCTCACCATGCTCCGAGACCTTTCCTGGTACAGCTGCATGCAGTCACATGGTGGCACAGAGCTGCTCCCAGGCTAACTTGCTGGAAACTAACCTTACATGCATGGCTTACTCCCTGGCCAGTGCCTGTCCCCCTCCCCACCACCCACCAAACCAACTTTCTGGCGGGCTCCTTGCTTGGGTGGTCTCACTGGCAGTCCCTCCCTTCTTCCTCCTACCAGACCAGGACTACTGGGGTCAGGACTACCCGGACTGCGCAGGCAACACGCAGTCACCCGTCAACATCGACACGGCCAAGACCATCTTCAGCCCCCAGCTGCGACCGATCCAGCTGTCTGGCTACAGCCTGCCAGCCAGTGACAGGCTCATGCTAAAGAATAACGGGCACACAGGTGGGTGCAAAGGCACAGGCAGGGGCTGGAGCACAAGCAGAGCCCCTCCTGGCAGGACCAGGCTTCTCTGACACCCTTCCCCTGGGCTCTGGGAAGGGGGTTCTTTTGCAGGCTGCAGTTCTGTTGCCTTCAGCGCCGAAAGGGAAGCATTGGGATGTTGAGCCTTTACAGGTCCGTATACTTTCCTGTCTGGAGGGGAGAAACCAGGAGGTGGAGAACATACCACTTACTGCTTTGGGGAGCTGGCTCCAGGAAACTTAAATTTCCCTTAAAAATGTGTCCCTGGTATTTGTGATGGAGGTTTGCAGCCACCGTTTCCTCCCCTCCATTTCACTTTCAAAGGACTAGGCAGTCTCTGATGTGAATTAGCCTTTCAAGGTACCTACCTCTCAGTCTTTTAGGACACAACACTGGCCAGCTTCTTTAAGTCTGTCATTCAGGATGCTATCTTAAGATCTTAGGAAATGTTAATACATCTTTTGTTTCCCTTCTCCAACTTCATAATGTTTTTTAGAAAGCCTGGACACAACTTACTCACATTATTGTAGTAGCAGTCTCACCATCCCAGATATGCAGGAAAACCACATCTCCTTCCCGCTCACCACCCCACAGCTGGGGATGGCGGGTCCTGGTTGCTACCAGCTTTTTCTGGGAGCAAGCTGAGAGTCTTGTGCACGCTGGCGTCTGCCAGTCCCCGAGCCAAGAAAAGGTGGTGGAGAGAGGGGCTTAAAAACTCTCAGACGGTGCGATAAGGCACCTCCTTGCCCTGGCAGCTATCGAGATGGAGCTGACCTGTGTATACTGCAAACTCGACAGGTCGGACTCGCTGTGCATGGTCAGATCAGCTGCGCCGTGCGTGCCTGGAGCTTTATATTATGGCCTCCTGCCCTGGCGTGCCTGCAGAGTTAAACCAGTTGAGCTCAGTAGTTGCTATTTTAGACACCCTGGTATCTGGTGTTGCTTGGTGTTTAGAAAAGCAGTCAGAGCATTTTCATTGGGGTGAGGTGGGGGGAGGGAAGTAGTTTCTCACATGCTTATAAAATCCCTTTTTTTTTTTTTTTTTCTGGCTTCTACCGCTCTGCTTTATGAAAAGCCATAAATAAATAAAAGGTTGCAAGTCCAGTAAGATATTTGTATGGTTATTCCTTTTCCTGGTATAAATTTTATGTGCTGTATAAGCTTTTTCAAGAGCTAGAAAATGACTCAGGTAGCCAGCAGAATGAATGCAATGATTTAGCTACACAAAAGAAATGTAAAAGCAGATAAATTCCCAAGGAGGGGGTATTGTCCCACTTCCTGTATTTGAGTTTGTATCTCTGAAGCCAGTGGCAGGGAACAGGGGAGAGGATGAATGACTCATCACAGCCCTGTTATGTGGTTAAACCCTGAACTTGTGCCCTAGCTTGGTGATATGATTAAGGGGTATTTCACCTATTAAAAAAAGGAGGAAGGAAACAAGTTGATACTAAAAAGGAGGAAAAGGTGCTTAGAAGGGTAGGCAGCCTTTCTCGGGGTCCAGGGATGCTTCTGATATTTTTGTTGCCCATCCACGTAGCTGAGCTTTTAGATTGGCCACGCTGCTGCTCGAGTCCAAGGTAGGTGGCTAAACCACATTAAAGTAAAAGGCAAAACCAAGCACGTATTTATCGTACCCAAAGAGGCAAAGTTTTAGCTCTAAATTCTTTCAAAAGATTTAATGCCTCTGTGCCACCAGCTCTAGTGCTGTCAGACGCTCACAGGCTGCTTTATTTGAGAGGTCCCAGCTCGCCAAGCGCTGCAGCTCTCTCTGTCCAAGTGCCCTGCTCTCGTAGGTATTCACCACTCTGCCAACATCTTCCTCCATGAATTTTGTCCACCGTCACTTTATATTATTCTCACTTACTGAATAAATTGTTGGATAACATTTGTCTTGGAGCTGGCCCCTGGGAGTCTCTGCAGATGGGCTCTTCACTTTCCAGCATTTTCATAGCAGCTATTTTTGAAGCTGATGTATTTCCTGGGGCGTCCTACCACCTGAAGTTGAAAGCTGAACTGTGATGCATTGGTGCAGCTCTGGGTATTGATACCTGCCCATAGCCTCATGAAAGATGGAAAGCAAGTTTCTTTGTTGTGGCCAATATCCACAAGCCCAGGGTGACTCTTTCTCCTCTGCCTACCTGTGGGATGGACTGGGCTTCGTGTGTTACTGGCCGACCTCTCTCTTCTGCCTCTGCAGTTGTCCTTGAGCTGCCCCAGTCTCTGGCCATCACCGGCGGCTATGCCCAGCAGTACCGAGCCGTGCAGCTGCATCTGCACTGGGGCTCCTCGTCGGGACCCGGCTCAGAGCACACCATCAATGGGCACCGCTTTCCTGCAGAGGTGAGGAGCCCTCCTGGTGGTGGGGACATCCTTTCCTCTCCCACTGCTGGGCCGGGGAGGTGCTGGAGCGCTGTCTTGCTCCTAGCCCTTGTTGTCCCTGGATGGATGCTGTGTCCCCTGGCCAGGATCCCTGCTCCTGGGCAGCAGAGCTCAGTGTAGGAGTCTACTGAGCCAGACTCATGGTGCAGAGGCGAGGAGGAGATGGCCCTCCATGATGCTCTGCCCGCAGGTGGGCTGGGGCTGGCGCCCTGTGAGCGGTGCAGCGCGTCCCCACGCTGCAGCCCGGTCCTGGGCTGATGGAGCCAGAGCTGTGGTGGTCCCCGAGCTGGGGGAGCCAGCTCGCCAGGCGACCGTGAGCAGCCTGCTTTGGGAGCTGCAGGGACTGTTTACTCTGTACACACTGTCCTCCCGCTCTGCCAGCTCCTGTCTGGTTTGATCCCTCCATCTCTAGCTGCTGGCCTCAAACTGAGCCCGGCTCTGCTGTGCAACCCCCCCCGGGTACACAAGGGCAGAGTGCTGGTTTGCTGTCCCCTGGCCAGGGAGGTTCCTGTGAGCAGATCTTCACACTTGCTGCTTTGCAGCAACACATGTCTTATTCCCACCAGCATACTCCCCTCCTAGGAGGGGTGCTCCTCACAGCTGCATGTCTCTCTCAGTCCTGTGGGGGTGAGCACCTCCTGGAGGTGCCCATAGAATCATAGAATCATTGAGGTTGGAAGAGACCCTTGGGATCATCAAGTCCAACCATCTACCCTACTCTACAAAGTCTTCCCCTACACCATATCCCTCAGTACCGCATCTAAATGTCCCTTAAACACATCCAGGGATGGTGACTCAACCACCTCCCTGGGCAGCCTATTCCAATGCCCTATCACTCTTTCAGTGAAAAATTCCTTCCTAATGTTCAATCTAAACCTACCCTGTTGGAGCTTGAAGCCGTTCCTACATTGGAATTGCATGCTTCCCTTCCAGATCCACGTGGTCCACTACAACACCAAGTATAACAGCTTTAATGAGGCAATGGTCCACCCAGATGGCCTGGCTGTACTGGGAGCCTTCCTGGAGGTAAGTCCCATATGTCAGCCCTGGGCGAGGAGGAGTGGGACTGGGGTGGGAAGAGTCAGCCACAGTTTTGGGGTCTGCAACTTTTCCTGGGGAGAAGGGGAGAAAGAGGGCAGTCCAGAGGATGCCCTGTTTAGGGCATCCAGCCCTGTTAGGATGAAGGTGTCACTGGAATAGTGTGCCTCTCATGGGGACCAATACTTCCCTGCTGGCACTGCCATCACCGACCAGTGTCTGTTCGGCCCCTGCCTTTGTCATTACTTTGGGATCTCTGTGTTGCAGGTTGGGCCGAGGGAGAACCCATACTACCAGGAAATACTTGAGCATCTGTCCAAGATCCAAAAAGAAGGTAAGCCCCTGTCTCATCTAGAACTTGTCTCAGGGGCTGCAGCCCATCAGAGAAACCTCCTGCACGGCAGAGAGAGACTGCAGCAGACGTTTGCCCTGTATTTATGTGAGAAGGGGAGCATTGCAGAGCTCGCACAGCAACAGCTCCCCAAGGTGCCCTCTGCTCACACGTGCTTTTCCCTGCCTCCAGGGCAAAACCGCTGCTCTTTCTCCAGCACACCAGTGGCAGCAAAGTGCAAAATGCAGTGCCAGGCTGCCCATGATCTCCATGTTGGTCCTGTCTGTTGTCCTTCAAGGGTTTGTCCAATCTCACTCCCATCATGGTGTTTCTTCATAGAATCATAGAATCATTCAGGTTGGAAAAGACCCTTGGGATCATCGAGTCCAACCATCAACCGCACTCTACAAAGTTCTCCCCTACACCATGTCCCCCAACACCACATCTAAACAACTCTTAAACGCATTCAGGGACAGTGACTCAACCACCTCCCTGGGCAGCCTATTCCAGTGTCCAACCACTTTTTCTGTGAAGATTTTTTTTTCCTAATGTCCAGTCTCTTCTCGCAGATGGGGGAGTCTTGGTGCCCGGATTCAACATCGCAGGTCTGCTGCCGGCCAACCTGAAACTCTACTTCCACTACAACGGCTCGCTGACCACCCCTCCCTGCTTCCAGTCAGTCAAGTGGACGGTCTTCAACCAGACTGTGCTGCTCTCTCATAACCAGGTCCGTCAGGGCAATGAACTCCTTGCTGGGTCTTGTCCCTGCAGGCGTGCACCATCCTTGCCCATCCCCTGAAGGCAGGATGCCCCCCAGTTCTGCTCACACCTCTCACCTTACAGATGTTAACGCTGGTGACGAGCCTGAGGAGTGGTGACAGCAAGCCTCTGCAGAACAATTACCGGATGGCGCAGGCCCTGCACAGGCGACGGGTGCTGGCGAGCTTCCAGACCACCCTCCTTTCGGAGAAGCACCTGCCTTCTGGTAAGACGTGCGTGAGCGTGCTGGGGCCACACCTGGATGCAGGGATGGGGCGAGGAGCAGGAGTCAAGGCTTCACCTCTCTTACGCAGCGTTCGCATGCCATAGCCCTGCCTGGCAGGTGACTTACAGCAGCCTCTGGCCTTGGCGTCCTGCTTCCCAGCGTTTCTGTGCTTGTCTGACCTTGTTTGGGAAGATCGGTTTCTAGGGTGGGGAAGATCTATTTTACCCTTGGTCTTGCAAAAAGAACAGGGATGAGACTAGGGGATGTATGTATGGCCAAGGGCAAACAGCCAGGATCCCAGCTAGCTTCTTCATCCCTAAAAGTAACAGCTCAATTTGGCAGGAGCTGCAGCAAGCACCCCACCGCGGGAAGGGCAGTGCAGGTGTCCCCTCCTGAAGACATCCTGGCCATGCAGCCATCCTGGCCAGGTGCACAGTCCCCCTGCCCCACACATCCCCATCTGCCTGTCCTCAGTTCGTCCTCGAAGGCCTTTCTTGCCTTGGTGGTTTCCAGTGATGAGTAGGAATTCCTGTTAATCCTCAGGTGTGACTATCGCTCTGCATCGCTGAATTCTTGCCCGTTGCTGCTCTCTGAGGTCACTGAGTTTTTTCTGCCCAACATCCTGTTCCTTTTCTGTTCTGATGACATTTCCTACACCTTGTCTCAAGGTGACTAACAGAAAACAGCACATGGTCCCAGGCCCTTGGGCAATGCCCCAGTAACCACACACGGCTGTGCAAGGCACTTCCCTTCACCGTCCCACCTGCAGCCAATTCACTAATGGCTCCAGGCTTTTAATCACCATGGTCTTCAGCCTGGCCCACAGTTTCCCATGTGGCACTGCATCAAATGCTCCACTGAAGTCGGCAGAGATAAAATCTACCACATTTTCTTTGTCTAGAATATCAGTTATCAAAGAAGGATATCAGGTTAGGCTGGCATGCTCTATCTTTGGTAAACCTGTTAGATACTTTATCATATTTTCCATTTACCTCCAAGCCTTTCTTTTATCACTTTCTTGCAGAAGTTGTTCCAAAGCCTCCAGCCGCTGTGGCTGGGACGAGGGGGGAGTTACACAGCTCACCTTTCTTACTTTCATTATTTGCTATTTATATCCAACAACCCCCACCTTAACAAAGCCACAAAGCTCTTGTTCCTGGAGTGCCAGGATCATGTCCCAGTACTCCCAGATGAGGTTATTGATCCCCTGCCTTGCGTGCATGAGGTTATTGGGGTTTTCTCCCCACATCACAGAATCATAGAATCAGAGAATGGTTTGGTTTGGAAGGGACCTTAAAGATCATTGAGTTCCAAGCCCCCTGCCACGGTCAGGGACACCTCCCACCAGACCAAAGCCTGGTCATGAAGTCATGCTGGTAACTGCCTGCTTTAGCCCTGGGGCTGCGAGATGGAGTGCTCGCTTGGCTTGCAGCTGCACCTCCTGCGCCCACGCTTGCTGATCTTTCCTCAGTCACCCCCCGGTTTGGGAGAGCCCCTCCTGCCCCCCGGCTGCTGGGAGAAGGCGGTGGCTTCCCCGTGGTGGCCAGGCAGCTGGATAGGGCCCGCAGATAGTGCCACTCTGTGCACCATACTCGAGCAGTGTACAGATGATAATGCGGCCGTTTGCCCAGCGTGGCACCGTCGCTTTTAAATATTTGCCCAGCACGGCCCCCGCCCAGCTTGTAGGGCCACCGAGCCATCCCTGCCCCACATCCCTGCCAGCAGCAGCCGGCTTGCCTTTTTTCTGGGGAGCTGCTCACCACCTGGCTGCAGGCAGCTGCCTGTGGGGGTGACCCCGTGCCCCTCTCTGGGGTCTCCAGCAGGGTTTGGTGCAGCCATGGGGTGCTGCAGGGCTCAGTGCTCTGCTTGCCTGCTGCCAGAGCCATGGGAGAGTTTCTGGCTGGGTTCAGCAAAGCTTTTGTGTTCAAAGACCCCTGAAGACCTGCAGGCTTGATGCATCCCTCCCCGGGCAGAGAGAAAGCTCATGATGTTCAACAAGGGCAGGTTTAGGGTGCTGTACCTGGGGAGGAATAACCCCCTGCACCAGTACAGGTTGGGGGCTGACCTGCTGGAGAGCACCTCTGAGGAGAAAGACCTGGGAGTCCTGGTAGACAACAGGATGACCATGAGCCAGCAATGTGCCCTTCTGGCCAAGAAGGCCAATGGCATCCTGGGATGCATCAAGAAGAGCGTGACCAGCAGGTTGAGGGAGGTCGTCCTGCCCCTCTACTCTGCCCTGGTGAAGCCCCATCTGGAGCACTGTGTCCAGTTCTGGGCTTCCCAGTTCAAGAAGGACAGGGAACTGCTGGAGACAGTACAGCAAAGGGCCACAAAGATGATGAAGGGCCTTGGAGCATCACTCTTACAAGGAGAGGCTGAGGGACTTGGGTCTTTTTAGTCCGGAGAAGAGAAGGCTGAGGGGGGATCTGATCAATGCCTATAAATAGTCAAAGGGTGGGTGTCAAGAGGATGGGGCTGGTCTTTTTTCAGTGGTGCCCAGGGATAGGACAAGAGGTAATGGGCTCAAACTTGAACATGGGGAAGTTCTATCTAGACATGAGGGGGAAGTTCTATCTAGACATGAGGGGGAACTTCTTTAACTCAAGGGTGGCAGAGAATTGGAACAGGCTGCCCAGAGAGGCGGTCGAGTCTCTGTCTCTAGAGACATTCAAAACCTGCCTAGATGCCAAACTGTACAACCTGCTTTGGGGGGGAGGAGGGGGGGGGACGGACACATGGGCTAGAGGATGTCCATAGGTCCATTCCAACCCCTGTCTGTGAAACACCTCGGGCAACCTCTGACTGCCCTGTCTCTCTTTCAGATGGCGACGGTTCAGCAGGAGGAGGTAAGTGAGGGGTTGGCTGAAGGAAGGGGATGTTGCTGCAGGGGGTGTACCTGCCTGGGCAGGGGGTGCTGGCAGCCCTGGTGGGTTTGCAGGGCTGCCCTAGCACCCGCGTGGCTGGCTCTCATCTTTTCATCTTTGTCCCCTTTTCAGAAAGACACTCCAGCTCTTCATTTCACGCAGGTAAGCATGATCAGCTGAGGCTGCCCCTCTTCGTGTCCCCTCTGCCCTCAGGCTACCAGCTTGCTCCTGCCTTGCCCCATCTCCCTTGGCTGGTAGCCACAGGGACCTGTCCCCAGTGTAACATGCTCGTGCTTGGCTTGCAGGGGATGTGCTGGCCGTGCTCTTCGGGGTGCTCTTTGCCATCACGGCGCTGGCCTTCCTGCTGTACATCTACAAGCATCGCAGCCAGAACGCACGGTGAGCAGTGGGGAGCTGCAGGAGGAGAGACCCTAGAGGGTAGCATGGGTCAGGGGCAGGAGAAGGGGGGTTAAGGGTGGTCTCTTGGGCAGGAAGATGGGTTAGCAGGGCCCCCCTGCCTGCTCTAACACTACCCCTCTTTTCTCCCCGCCCAGGCTGGACTCACCGACCAAGTCCAAGGTCATCTACACGGCAGCCACCACCGAGAACACTGCCTGAGCCCCACACCTCTGCGGGGGTCCCAGGCCTGCCACCCCACCTCCCCTCACTCCCACCCCACGCCGAGGGAGGGCCAGCACTCCAGCATCCCTCGGCTGTATAAGCTGCCCACATGGACTGTTTGACAGGGGATATTTTTGTTATAAAAAAATGTAAAAATGTACTGTCAGGAAAAAAAAAAAAAAAAAGTAAAAGCCTCCCATGGTGCCAGCCCTCTCTGCTGTCCTTGTGCAAAGCTGTGGGGTGGGAAAGGTCACTGGTGGAGTGGGACCCACCGTGAAGAGGTGTGTGTGGGGACCTTTTCCTGATGGGCAGAGACAGCATCAGCCTCTGTGCCCTGGGCAGAGCTCCAGAGCAAGCAGCACAGGGCTCCTTGCACAGCCCAGCCCTGCCCTCCATCGCTCTAGGACTTCTTCCTCCTCTTATTTGTGCAAAGCATTAGAAAAACATAGCCGTGGTTTAGTAGGGCTGGAGAAAGGCAGAGCTGAAGGTGGCAGAGCCACTGTTTCCTTGCTGCCCAGCCCCCACCCAGCTCCCCTCCAGCTCTACCGTAGCTGGAGTGGTCCCCGATCTGTGGCTGCATCCCACCTTTCCTGGTGAGCCCCAGGGAGCTCTATGGCCACACCAAACCCAAGAGAAACGGGCCAGGTTCCAGAGAGGGGAGGAATCTGCAGGTCTCCAGCTCTCAGCAGCCTCCACCCCAAAGCAGTGAAACTAGAACCCAGCCCCTGTTACCATGGACAAAGCAGGAGCAAGAGCTCCAGGCAAGGCAGGTCTGCAACTGTTAGACCAGTCACAGCAGCACAAAACACAGCCACCACTACTGCAGGGTGCCTGCACCTTCCCCACAAGGGCAGCATCACTGGCCACACACAGCACCGCTCGTCTGTGGTACTTCTTTTTATTGGTATAAAAGCCCATTATGGATAAAACTGCCTTCTCAGCCCTGAGCCCGATGGCAGTTTCTCCCTCCCAGCCCTGTGGCGCAGCATCAGGGCTGGTGCCCGCCTGAAAATCCCCATCCAAGTGCAGAAGAGGTCAATGGTCCACTGGAATGGCCCCTTGAACCCCCTCCCTGAGATGTGCCGGTACCAGCTGCGGGGTTGCATCTCCTCCTGAGGCTTCCACCACCCTCCATGTCCGCTGGGCTCTTTGGGTACCATCTTTTACCCACCCTCCTCCTGTCCAGGGTGCTCTCAGGCCCCTCGGGTCACCCCAGTACCATCCTCCCTGCGCCAGGATTCTGGCTCACTGTGGCTACCGCAGTCCAGCTCCGGGGCTGCAGCTCCCAGGGCAGCGAGGCTGGGCAAATGGCAGAAAAAGTAGCGCCACAGCGGTCAGTTCTTTGCAAAGCTGCTTCCTCCACCCTTCGTTGAGGAGATGATGCACACCCCCCTGGCACCGGCACAAGGGACAGCGCATCTTTTGCGGCGGGGGGAGAAGCAAAGGGTTTCTTTGGGCTCAGGTCTCCAGCAGTCCAAGGTAGCATCCTTCCCAGGCTGGGGCCCCACTCACAGTGGGGTCAGCAAAACTGGGTCCCCCAAAGCTGTTCTCCAGGGGCTCCTAAAAAGGTGTCAGATCAAGCCAGCCCCAGCCACACCAGTCAGCCAGCTGCCACTGGCCGGGGTCCCCCAGTCCAGGAGAGAAGATATTGCAGAGAAGGTGACGGCTGCTCTTGCCGTCAGGATGGAGGGGAGGGTAGGGGTGGCCGGGGACAGGAACATCCCTTGGGGACTCAGGATCCTGGCTGGGGGCTGGCTCCGCTCCGTAGACCTGCAGGAACCAAGAGGAGATGGGGTCAGTTTTCACCAGACTCCTTACCCCATCCACTTCCCCCAGGAGAGGCAACAACCCAACCATAGCCCCGAAAACCAGCTTCTCCTCCAGTCTGGCAGCTGAGGGGATGACCCTCCTTGTTCCATCCCCTGGTACCCAGTACCAGTCCAGCTCCCTACCCCAGTACCAGTCCTGGTAGCCAAAGGGAGCCACAGAGTGCCCCGATGCCCTTTATGGAGCAGGACTTACAGAGCAGGAAGCGCCGCAGGTTCTGAGCAGATCCCCCCGAGAGCAGGTAAGCCCAGGTGGCGGCAGCAGCCATCAGCAGGTAGGAGGGCACCAGGCTGCCCACGTACAGGGGGTTCCAAAACGTCTGGGGAGAGAGGCAGGAGAAAGGAGGAGTGAGTGGGCAGGAGAGGACAGGGATAAACGGGTGGCAGTGTCACCACCTTGACGAGCAGAATGGGATAGGGGACACCAGCCCCAGGGTTCATTTTGTGAAGGGCCAGCTGCAAGTCCCCCAAACCCACCCACGTCGCTAGTGCCAAAGGCTGCCTACCCACCCCTGCACAGCGACCATCAGGCACCATGGCCATCCCCAAATACAAGTCCCAGCACAGAGCTCCTCTCCCAGCTACTCACCGACCCCGAAACGGCGAGGTGCATGACCACCACCGCCGCGATCTCCCACCAGCGCCGGTGCTCGCAGCCGTGGAAGAAGAGGATCCCCCAGAAGGTGTGAAGGAAAATCAGCACCATGGTCATAAAAGCTGTGGGGAGTGGCAGAAGGGTGTCACCAGGGAGCCACCCAGCCCGCAGGCTGAGGGAAGGATGAAGAGGAGCTGGGAAAGGGGAGCAGAGGCACTGCTGGGCTGGACTGGGAGGCAGTGGGTGTGAGAGGGATGGGGGAGAGGAGGAGAGAGGATCACAGGGGATGGAAAGAAGGGTTTGGCACAGAGTTAAGTGGCAGGGGACCACAGAGGGCTCAGATGCGTAGGAGGGGCAATTCAGGGGTGCAGCACAGAGCAAGGGGGCTGTGCCCAGTCGCCCAGGTCTGCTGCCTCTGTGGTGGGGCAGAGACATGGGTGAAGGTTGCTGGTTGCTCACCTGAGGTCAGGAAGTAGAGCTGTGAATCCCCATGGATGCCCACAGTGCCGGGCCCTAACGAGTCTGCCAGAAGATTGATCATGGAGAAAGCGCCGCTCATGAGCCCGAAGCCCACACCAGCCACTGCAGGGACAGGGACACTGTCAGGCCCTGAGCCATCCAGGCACCTCCTTAACCACCTTCAGTGTGAGGAACCTCCTTTTCCCCCAGTTTCATGCCCAGCCCTGCCCGGGCTTGCCCCTGGCCCCGCAGTCAAGGTGCCCCACTCTGCACAGCACTCACCATACGCCATTTGCTGGATGGAAATGGGGGAGCAGCCGTCCTCGCTGAGGGCCACCAGCCCTTCGATGGCCTTCCTGTGGGGTGAGAGCATGCTGGAGCCTGGCACAGCCCAGTCACACCCTAGGCAGGGTGCTGGGTTGGAACGGGTGGGTGGGAGCTGGGGTCTCACTCTGCGCCATCCCACCCTCCTAGTAACCTCCCCATCACAAACCACAACACCCAGCATGGAACACAACCTCCCTGAACCCCTAGACAAAGCAGGAATGTGAAAGCCACACAAGAATATTTTCCACAGGTGGACATGAGTGCCAGCGAGCCCCACGGAGAAGGTCTGGGCTGAATGGGACATTGGGTGCAAAGCAAGCAGCACTTCCACAAGGAAAACAGTCCCAGCGCCCGTGTGGGAGGTGCATGCCAGGAGGGCATACCTGATCTCTGCATTTACACTCTTAGAAGATGTTGAAAAAAAATGCAGGGGAGAGCTCAAAGGGCTAGAAAAATTCTTTTAGGGGAAAAACTGGGAGAGGTGGGGTTCATAATTTTTATCAGCTGGAAGTGGGGTGGGTGAGGAGGATGCCAGGCGGCTCCTCAGCCCAGGGAGGGCAGCAGCGCTTCCAGCCGGAGATCCCCGGGGGGAAGGAGCCGCAGTGGTTTGTGTTGGAGGCTGCTCCGTGGAGCTCTGCTACCCTCTGCCTGCCGCAGGGAGCCGTGCGAGCACACCCCCCCCTCCCCCGGCCTTCCCCCAGCCCCGGGAAGGCTGCAGGGTAGGAGGGATGCCGACCCCAGCATCGCCTTCCCTTGCCTGCCTGCCCAGCCCCGGTGCAGCATCCGTCTGTCCATCCGTCTGTCTGAACGCAGCAGGGGGTCAGGCAGCACAACCCCCCCTGCTCCGGGCCGGTGGTGGCAGCAGGGAGGCCCAGAGCTGCTGAGGCTGCACCCAGACTTTGCCCCGGGCTGGCCAGGGCACCCAGCATGGGGCCAGTGGTGATATGCACCCCCCACAGAGACCCCAAACCACCTTCAGGCTGCTCCCGCTCACACAAAACCCTCCCGGAGAAAGGAACAAGGCTTGACAGGAGGCCAGGGCAGATCCCTAACCCTTCTGTCCCACATACAGCAAAGCAGGCGTTTCTGGTGCCTGGCGTCCCCCTGGGCTGCGGGAGCACTGCCAGTGCCAGTCACCAGGGCAGAGAGGATGTCACACGTCCTGCAGCAGCCCAAGCCCACAGCCTGCCTGTCCCGAATTCAGGGAGACGCTACCAGCTACCTCAGCCTCAGGTCCTCCAAACCTTAGGGCTGCTCTGCTCCACCACCTGAGACGCATTCAAGGTCAACCTACTGACACAGGTACCACCCGCGCACTCCCAGTGAGGACCAAGGTGGATTGGTGCCACATTTGGCATCCCCCCCCTGCCAGCCCAGAGAGCTCCCAGATGAAAGCCAGCACCCACCACGGCCAGGAGGACCATCTGGTGTCACTGGAGCAGGGTGGGAGATGCCCTTACCTGAGGAGCTTGTAGTAGAGGAATCGGAAGGCCTCCTGCAGCAGCACAGAGAACATCACCCCAAATATCAAGAGCCCCTTCTGCAACGCCTCATCCCGGGGATCGCTGGCCTTAACCGCGATAAACCAGATGAGGGAGGAGAGCAGCAGCGACACCAGCCAGAAGAAAGCCCTGCGAGAGAGAGCAAGAGCCTGCTGGCACCGGTGCTGCGCCAGGATCCAGTGCTGGTACTGGTGCCAGTGCCATGCCCATGCCCACCGGCACCACGCCTGTACCCCTCTGTGTCAGTACCGGCACTGGTAGCTCTGCCCCAGCCTTGCCCACTCTCTTACCAGTACCAGAGCTGTTCTGGTACCAGTGCTGGGCAGGTGGTGCCCATACTGGTATCGCTGCTGTGCACTCCTCCTCTGCAGAACTGGCACCAGTGCCCCCCTTGTGCCCACACCAGTACTGGTGGCAGGCTCCACCTGTTTCAGCACCAGTACTGGTGATCCTGTCATGACCAGGACCGCCAGTATGACTACTGGTGTCCCTAATGTGCCCATGACTGCACCATTAAAAGAAACAATATTACTGCCTCTGGGAAGCAACAGCATCAGTATGAGTCCTGGTATGGTGCCCGTGTTGTACCCACAATGACACCAGTGCTGATCCCCACGTTGTGCCTCTGCCAGTACCAGTGACATCCCTCTCACACCCATGCTGGTACCAGCACTGGCACTGGCACCCCTGTCACACCCATACTGGTAGCAATACTGGCACTGGTACCAACACCCTTGTCATGCCCATACTGGCACCAGTACTGGCACTTCTACCAGCACCCCGGAACACTCATACTGGTACCAGCACACCTGTCACACCCATACTGGTACCAGTACTGCCACTGGTACCAGCACCCCTTCATTCCCATACTGATACCAGTACTGCCACTGGTACCAGCACCCCTTCACTCCCATACTGGTACCAGTACCAGCACTGGTACCAGCACCTCTTCATTCCCATACTGGTACCAGTACCAGCACTGGTACCAGCACCCCTTCATTCCCATACTGGTACCAGTACTGCCACTGGTACCAGCACCCCTTCATTCCCATACTGGTACCAGTACCAGCACTGGTACCAGAACCCCAGCATGCCCATACTGGTATGAGCACCCCTGTCACACCCATGCTGGTACCAGTACCGCCACTGGTACCACCACCCTTCTCACACCCATACTGGTACCAGTACCGCCACTGGTACCACCACCCTTCTCACACCCATGCTGGTACCAGTACCACCACTGGTACCAGCACTCCCTCACGCCCATACTGGTACCAGTACCGCCACTGGTACCAGCACCTCCCCATTCCCATACCGGTACCAGTACCGGCACTGGTACCAGCACCTCCCCATTTCCATACCAGTACCGGTACTGGCATTGGTACCATCACCTCCCCATTCCCATACCAGTACCAGTACCAGCACTGGTACCAGCACTCCCTCACGCCCATACCGGTACCAGTACCGGCACTGGTACCAGCACCTCCCCATTTCCATACCAGTACCGGTACTGGCATTGGTACCATCACCTCCCCATTCCCATACCAGTACCAGTACCAGCACTGGTACCAGCACTCCCTCACGCCCATACCGGTACCAGTACCGGCACCAGTACCAGCACCTCCCCATTCCCATACCAGTACCAGTACCGCCACTGGTACCAGCACCTCCCCATTCCCATACCAGTACCGGTATCGGTACCAGCACCCCTGTCACATCCATACTGGTACCAGTACCGGCACCGGTACCAGCACCCCCTCACGTCCATGCCGGTACTAAGCACTGCTGCCACACCAGTACCGAGAGGAGTACCAGTACCCACTGTGCGCCCCCCGCCCTCGGTGCCGGTGCGGGACTGACCCGGCGATGAGGATGATGATGCGCAGCGGGTCGCGGGCGATGGTGAACAGGAAGAGGCCGAGTGCCGGCCCGAAGGCGATGAAGGTGCACCCGAAGAAGACGGCGAGCGTCATGGCGGCGGGACGGGGACGCGGGACGGGGACGGGACCCGGCGGCTCGGCCCGGCCCGGCCCCGCTCTCCCTTCCCCCCCCTCCCCCGCCCTTCCGGGACCCACCGACGTCACGCGCCGACTGCGCCGGAAGCGGCGCCATGGGGTGGGGCCGGGGAGGGGGCGGGGCCTGA